TATCACTACTTGTTTGACACTGGTCCTACAGCTTCTCAATGAGCTCAATGATGCATTTGGGCCTCCATTTGTTCAGCCCATTGTGAACACTATTCAGAGCTTGATCAATTTAGTTCAGGTATATTTTATCAAGTTCTGCATTGTCACTGCTCAACTATCATAGAATGTGAAGCAAAACAAAAATGAATGCGCTCAGCTCATGGAAAACATCCACCACATCCTGTATGCAGTTGTCAAGCTCCATATAAAATCGGAGACTGTTGGATCCCTCCCTCCATTGCTGGTTGACAACATTGAGAAATTTGTTGCGTAAGTTATGTTTAATTTTCTTCAAATGAACTTTTTGACCAAGTTCATAAACAGTACACTTCACAAGATTTACACATTTGTTGAAGCACAACAGCAGGGAAACAAGATCACACACCTCTTCCGCAACAATGAGATGAACAAATTACTTCAAGACTGTCATGCAGGATTGAAGCAGGCACAAGAGATGTTTGGTGTATGACTCATTTGTGTTTCTTTACCATGGCTTAACATTATCTATATAGATTCAAACACAGACTCAGACATTGGATGAGATCAGGGAATTCAGAAAGACAGCCAACCTGATGCACAACGAAATGATGGAGCTGATTGAAAATCTTTCCGAAACTACAGTGTCGGAAAGGTCATCGGTATGTAAATTGTTGCCACTCTATGCACTTTCCCTTAGCTTGAGCAGGTTTATCTGGGTGTCAATGAATTGAAAAATAGGTAAACGCTCAGTCTTATGATTCAACCATTCCTTACATCTTGTTTCAAGCTCAAATTCATTTTCAATGCTCCCCTCAAAGCCCAAGATTTTCCATGGTCGTGAACAGGAGCTGGACCACATTCTCAAACTGATCAGCCAACAGCCACCCAGGATTGCTATTCTAGGCGGTGGTGGCATGGGCAAGACAAGCCTTGCAAGAGCAGTGCTTCACCATCCAGACACCTCTTCCAAATTTGAACACCGATTCTTTGTCAGTGCTGAAGCTGCAACCACCAGTGTTGAACTTGCTGCACTTATTGGATTGCATGTTGGATTAAAACCTAGCCAAGATCTCACAAAGCCTGTTGTCCAGTATTTCTCGAGAAAAATGTCCTGTCTTCTGATCTTGGACAATCTGGAAACAGTTTGGGAGCCAATTCATTCTCGAGCTGGAGTTGAAGAATTCTTGTCCCTTCTTGCCAGTCTTGAACACCTTGCATTGATGGTATGTCCACAGTGCTCCAGTCAAGTCTCACTAATATTGCCCTCCAGATCACAATGCGAGGGACTGAGAGGCCTGCCAAAGTTGGATGGACCCATCCATTCTTATTGCCATTGCAACCTCTCTCAAATGATGCTGCAAGACAAACTTTCATTGAGATTACAGACAATTCAAATACACTTGAGGAAATGGAGCAACTTCTGGGATTCACAGATAACATGCCACTAGCAGTTGACCTCATTGCCCATCTGGTTGACTATGAAGGCTTCTCCACTGTTCTTTCACGTTGGAAAACAGAAAAAACATCTCTGCTTTCTGTTGGTTTTGACCGGCAATCCAGTGTAGATACATCCATCAGTCTTTCTCTGTTGAGTCCTCGAATCACATCTGACAGCAAGGAACTCTTAAGTCTTCTCTCAATCCTCCCAAATGGACTTTCTGAAGCTGAACTTGTGCAAGGCAAGCTTGGCATTCCAGATATTCTCACTTGCAAGGCTACATTGCTGGCCACTTCATTGGCTTATAGGGACACCAATCAGCAACTGGTTCTACTGATGCCCATCAGAGAATATATCCAGCGGGTCTTGCCTCCTTCTCAGTCCCATATACAACTCATTCACAAGTATTTTCATGCACTTTTGCTGCTATACACCAAATATCAGAGAGAGCAGCAGAAACCCTTGGTCCATCAAATAACCTTGAACCTGGCAAATTTGCAGAACATTTTGCAATGGGGATTTCATGCCGATCCCTCAATCATTGCAGATACGATCCAGTGTGCATTGATCCTGAACAATTTTTATAGGCTTACTGGACATGGCTATTCCCCACTGATGAACAATATTTGGTCTCCCTTGTCTCAAATCTGTGATCAACAACTTGAAATCAGATTTCTTATCCAACTCCTCAACACCGAACATTACTGGCCAGTTGTGTCAGGGGAAATGATAGCACAAGCTACCAGCTATGTTGAGCATTCAAAGGATCCTGTTCTTGATGGTGAGGACCACTCCTTCCTTCAGGCATTTCACATCTAATAGATCAGTCATTATGATAGCCATATTATATGAAGTTGCAGGGCATTATTCCTTTTACCATAAAGGGGATGTAAAACAAGCAAGTCAATTTCTTCAAAAGGCACTAGAAAAATCAGAGCTTTGTGGGAGCAGCACACAGCAGTGCAATGTCATGCTACAACTTGGTCATTTCAAATTGCAGACTGGCAATTGCAGTGCTGTTATGGTATATGCAACTGCAGCACAAAAGCTATCTAAAGTAGCAGGAAATTTGTATCAGGAGGGTCGAGCAAATCATTTAGGAGCCAGGTTGCATTACCACCTCGGGGACTACCAAAAGAGTATGGCACAACTCCACAGGGCTGCAGAGCTTTTGCATATCTGTGGCCTGTCAGGAGGTTCTCTTGCTTATGATGTAACATTGGCCCAGGCAGAAATCCATCTCTTGAAATCAGAATATACAGAGGCGAGACACCTCTTCTGTCAAGTCACTGAAACTACTTCTGCTGAAGACAATTCTATTGCCTATGCGAATTCACTCATCAACGTTGGATTCATTGATGTGATGATCAGCGAGGCTAAAGAAGAGATTTACCACAAGTTGCAAGTAGCCCAGGAGATCATGAGGAAGAGTCCTATAAGCATCACTACCTGTAGCACAGTGCAAGCATTGATAGAGCTTAGAGATGAGAAATTCGACTCAGCAAAGGCCAAATTCCAAGAGTGTCTTTGCTTGTCCTGGGGAACAAATGCTGAAGTTCGAAATTTCTGCCTGGAACAATTAGCCAATATCAGAGCTTGGCCTGTTAACATGTGGGAATACAAATGGTCTATTATCTATTTGGCATCTGCCACCAAATCAAAAGCCAAATTACACCTTCACAAAGCACTTCTCCTTCTTGGAGACACATTTATTGCCAACAATGATGAAAATTCAGCTGCCAATCTCTATCAAGTGGCCCTGGCAGGATTTACCCGAATGGATGTGCATCGCAGCCGAGCACAATGCATGCTACGTCTTGGAGATCTGGCAAGCAAACATGGATGTACTTCAGAGGCAATTGCCTTCTGGGAGGCTGCTCGGCCACTATTTGAGCGGGCATCACAGACCAAAGATGTAGCCCAAATTGACTCCAGACTTGCAACCTGGGAAAAACACCATAACAAAGCTCTAGTCAAAATAGAAACTTTGCATGCACCCATTCAGCTGGGGAAAGAAGAAACCTTGCAGATTAAAGGCGAAGATTCTGCTGATGAGGATGCTGAGGAGCACACAGTCCCTATCACAGTGTGATAGGTGACTAACTCGGCCCCTTTCTGGCCTTTTATCAATTTCTTGCTATTGATGTTTGATCTCATTTATTTATCAATGAGTGCTGATTTTGTTTTTCTGAAGCCTTGTCCTGTATCTATTTATCCTCCAGTTCAGTAGTGTATTTATTTATTGTTTGTATGTTTGGAGTTGGTTGTTTATTTATTTATTTATCAACACACTGGTTGCATTTTTCAGAATGAAATACCTGGATCAGCTGGTATAACCACAGGACTTGCGAAAGGACACCATAACAACAGATAATGAAATACATACATGAGCACAATTAATGGAGTGAATTCCTCTTCCTGATTTTACTTTTGTAGTATATCCATGAACTGCGTTATCCATCTCAATCTCTCTCACCTGTTCCACCAAGTTTTGTTGATGGTTTCCCTATAAAATGAGACCTGGCTGTCCATCTGTCTCCAAGCCATGACAGCTCTGCAATCAGATTGACCTGCTAAATTGTATCAATATCCAGGACGCTCAAATTCATGTATTAATTATTCATTTGGTTTGGATACGGGAGTGCCAGCCATAACATAGTCAAGTTCAGCTGGTGTATCTATCCAATGTCCATACACATCTCTCCAGTGCGAAATTCAACAAAAGGAAGACCCCCCGGATGAGTCTTGAGCCATCTTTAAATTTGGCACTCAAACAGCCGCTCGCAGAACTCCTTCAGAACAAGTTCTCAATCAAAAATTGAAAGGATGTACTTCAGCTATGAGTTCCGTGCATTATAATATTTGTATTGAACCAAAGTGGTGGGCTCGAAGTGCTCCTTGTGGATGGATGAGCATTGAGACAGAGATCCAGACTGAACCCCCCTCTCAAAAAAATGCTTTTAAGTAAAGCAATCTGAGAGTTGTACATATGTACCATATATACACATAAAAAGAAAGGAATAAGGAAAGAGGGTCTGGAAGCAGTACAATACTGTACCATTTCGTTCAATTTGTATGTCACGCGTCACACCCGATTTCTGGAAAGCTTCGCAATATTTTTTTTCTCAATTTTAGCGGAATTTGGGGATTTGTCGGAAAATTAAAAAGTCACATGCAAGTACAAATTGAACGAAATGATACAGTAGATGGTGTAGATGCCAAGTCCCAATCCATTGGGTGCTTAGAAGTGGGATCGGGATGGATGATGTCCAGAGTTCATGTTAGATAGAACACAGGGGGGACAAAACAAAACAAAACAGAACAGAAATGAAGCAACACACACAGTAAACCGCAGATGTACATAAGAGAATTGTATATTCCCGCGTCTTAGAGAGCCCCTTCAAAAAATTTTGGCAGTAAATCACAGTGGACAAGGGAGAAAAAGATTGGGGAGCAAATAGATGCCCGACCAAAACAAATAAAACTTGGAACAAAGATACTCAACCGCGAAATAAATCAAAAAGCGAAATGGAACCAAAAAGAGGGGCCTCACCGGGAATCGGACCCAGGTCACTTGCATCACCGCAGCCCAAAGCAAGTATGGTACCTCTGGACCATGAGGCCATGATGAAGTTCCCGTAGTTTTGGCCCATACTCAATCTCTCCTGCTCTCCGGTTCTCATCCTTGACTTGACTCTTTTGCGCGTGTTAGCAGGGGTGACTGAATCCAGCGAGGTGCGTAAACTCTAAATGTAAGCGAGAATCGTACGTAAGCGAAAGCCCCGTCAGGCGAACAGTACTTATCAGTACCACGTCGACGTCGACATCTGCCGCGTTCAACAGATAGCGCCACCTTTCGCGCGCGCTCTCCCCCGGCGCCGTACGTATTGGCTATCACCGACAAATCACGGCGCCGTCTTATTTCCCACCATGTGGTCAGTTGATGGTGCCGCTTAATTGATTGGCTTGGCTTTGCTTCCCCGTCGCTGCCGAGGCGGACATCTTTCTGCCAAAGTCCTTCTTCTTGTTTGCTGCGTCTTTTTCTTTGCTTGTCCTTGTCCTTTTACACTCCAGTCGTTGGCTAGGGATTCGGAGGACTCGGAGGATTGTTGTCATTTGGCTCGAAAACGACGACGACCAGGACGCTACGGATTCTTCTTCTCGCGGTGAAAGGAAAGAAGGACTAGGAAGGAAAGCAAGATCTAGAAGGAACGAAGGCAAGCAGGCACGAAGGCAGGCAGGAGGAGGGCAGCACCCACACCCTCGCGCAAAAGCCGCACCATGGCGCTGCTCCCGGACGTGTCGTTCTCGTGCGTCCATTAACTATCTACTGCACATGCTGAGCTCAGATGCGCCTGCGTGTGTAGGTACGGTCCGATGCTCATAGGTGAGTTGCGCACCCGCTCGTTCGTGCGTTCGTTCGTGCGGCGGGCTGATCGACCCCGCACGCAGGTGTCTGTATCAACCTCATCCTCTACGGCGTGCGTCCCGCCCCTTTCCCCTTCCCTGTGCCACCAGGCTGACTCCGCTTGCTTGCTTGCTAGGTCTTCCTTGGGCAGGTGCGCGCGTCTCTGTTGGGCGCGGAACGAATTTAAGAAGCTTACCGATCATTACATCGCAGGCGTTGACGCATTACCAGCGGTACCGCAGGTGCGCATTATTATTTATCTTCTTCCCTTCCCTTCGTTCGTCCGTTTTACGTCCATGCTAACGTTGCGCTGCTGCCGTGCGTGGGGACGACGACGCATGGCTGCGATATTTTGTGCGTCTGCCCTCCTTCCGACCCATCGCGTCCATGCATCCATCCCCCGCGCCCGCCCGTCTCCCATCCGCAGTGTATGGCGGGTCCGCTCTGTGGCCTTGCCTTGCCTTGCCCTTCTCCCCCTTCTCCCCGATCTGCACGCGGGCCACTCCACTAACACCCACGCCAATTCCAATTATACCTCCCTATCCGCACTCCACCAACTAACGCCCCACGCAGGTCGCCTACCTCCTCGTCCTCGAATCGCTCAACACGGGCTTCGACATGCAGATGATGTACCAGCCGCTCATTCTGCAGTACGGCCAGGTCCTGGACTATTTCCCGACCGTATTTGTTTCGGGTGCATCTTGCGTTATATTTATACTGCGTGTGGGCGTGCGCTGATTTGGATTTGGATTTGATTTTTTGCATTTTCTTTCGCATGGACTGTCCGCCTACTTGCTCTTTGAAAGCACCGTCCTACTCGCACCTCCACCCGCCCACTCGCCCCCCGCCCGCTCCCTCCCTCGCTTGTGCATTCAAAACTAAAAACTAAAACTGAAACTATGTCCACCCATCCAGAGCCACTCTGCGTTGTACGTTCCTTCTCCCTCTTCCCCTCTCGTCTCCTCTCGTCCTCTCTTCTTTCCTCCTTTTTCTTTCAAGTTTGGTGCACGTCGTGTTCACTCTTGCTATCCACAGTACCTGGTCCAACGTCGGCGCAGATGCCACTGGCGCAATTGTCGCCGAGCCGTTCTTGGAGAAAGTGTGTTGGAAGTAAGTTTATTCTCTTACATGATGCCAGGCGGTTTTCTGGATGCAGACTGATTACGTTCTTTGCTGCCTTTTTCCCACTGATCTCGAATCACGGCTTATTACAAATCAGACTCATGCTGATCTTTTTCTTTCCCCCGCCAGGTACATCGTCCGCATGCTCGGCTAGGCGCAGCATCCGCGTCAACCTAGATCTTCACACTGCGCCGGGATCGCAGAATGGTATGTTCGATTGATATTCGTATACGTACCTCTTCAACTGACACCTGCACGCCTTTGAAGGGTATAACCACCCAGGCAAGCTCGGCGACTCAACGGCGTCATGGGCATCGCCAACGCGCAGTGCATGCTCGACTACATCCGGATTATTACCGAGATAAACTCGCAGCCAGAGTGGAGCGACATTGTCCTGATATTTGAGATTATCAATGAGGGTGCGTAGTTCGGGGCAGCTTCCTCGCTGGTAAGGCGACGTAGGCCTTGACGACAACGCTAACTCGTGGGCAGCCCTCCTGACCACAATCGGGCGGCCTCAACTCTCCTCCTTGTACGTTCCATCTCCCTCAATTTGAAACCACCTCAAGGTGAAATTGAACCCGCAGCTATCTCGAAGCGCGCAACATGATCCGCAGTATTACGGGGTATGGCGCGGGCAATGGGCCCTTCGTCAGCATCCACGACGGATTTGATAATGTATCCTCGTGGGCGGGCTTCCTCGCGGGATCGGACCGTATCATGCTTGATACGCACCCGTATTTCGCGTTTGACCAGCAGCCGAATGATGCGCCAATTGCGACTGGAACGGGACTGCAGGCGGGTGGGATATGGCCCGGGCAGGCGTGCAATGCATGGGGGGCCCTCAATCAATACGAGATGCGTACACATGATGTTCCCTTTCCTCTTATTATCATACGACCACACCACGATATCGACCACACCACGATATGTACTTTAGTCCACCCCCGCGGCACTCTCCCATCTTCCCCATCCCCGCGAGTACCCCACCACCCAATACACACACTCACAGGCAGCCATAAACTACATTAGATATCTTGTAAAGTGTGACATGGGCCCTAAGGGGCCCGCAGCAATGGGGAAATGAATGAATGAATGATGTTCCCTTTTCTTCTTCTATTTCCCTTTCCTGATTCTGTCGAATTTCATTGATGTGATTCTTATTCCTTTGCTCACAATACAGTCGGAGCGCGTTCGGGGTGACTATTGCGGGCGAGTTCAGCAACGGATATAATGACTGCGGGCTTTACCTGACTGGTGTGAACGGGACACGCTCGTATAGGGGAAACTGCGACTTATGAGAGGACGCAAGCACCTGGAACGCAACGGTCACGGTGGGGTGAGGCTCTATGCGCTCGCGAGCATGGACGCGCTGCGTGATTGGTTTTTCTGGACATGGAAGGTACGCTGTGTTGCGTTTTATTCCTCCCCCGGTTATTTCACACCCACTAATAAATTATGCGTGGGCGTACTGTAGAACACCACAGACGGTGTCGTGCACTCTCCTCTGTGGTCCTATCAGCTTGACCTCCAGGGTGGCTGGATCCCCACTGACCGGTGCACCGCGCTTGGGACGTGCGCCGCCGTTTGACGGAACGTTCAGCGCTGGGCAAACCCGCGACGCAGGCGCAGGGACCATCGCAGCAGCCGCCACTGCGCAGTTCGGTGTATGGCCACCGCTCACGATTTCTGATGCAAATGGACCCGCTACCTTGTGCCGACATACACGCCCCCGGGGAGCGTGCCGACGCTGGTGTATACGATGCCAAGTGCGGCGACGGTGACTGCGACGGTGAGCGCTGGGAATGGGTGGTTTGATAGTGCAGACACGGCGCCGGCGATGACTGCAGTCGCGGGGTGTGCGTACCCTGATGTGTAGGGGCGGTGAGCTCGCCAGTACCGGTGGCATTGTGTACGGGTGCGCCTTGAGCGGGTGTGTGTTGTTTCGGGAGATTCATATAACGCGCTCCCATCTTCACGCTGTGTTTATGAACGTGTGATTTTAGGACAGGATATTGACAGTAACACTCTGTGTTATTATGGGCAGTGTAGGAATTTTTCAGTCTGCCGATCTAAATTTGTCGTCGACTTAGTGTTAGAGACTGCATCTGTCCTAACGTCCTAACCAGTGCAGGGGTGTTCCCAAAACACGTCCATTAAATCGCATGGACCAGTACATGTCCACTGCGTTGTTTTCGAACTTTTTGAAGGCTGGTAGTGTTTCTGACCATAATTTATTGTTCAAATAAATATTTAGACTTAACAAAGAGGTCGACCCGTGTCGCCACTATGACAGTTACCCAGGCTTCAGTTGAAAAATCAGAAAGAAAAGTACCCACTGCCACTCACTCCCCGCATTCCAATAGTATCGAGGTTTACTGCCCTTGAGGCACGCTAGATAGGGAATCCAGCGTAAAAGCAGGCGGGTAGTGTGCTTCGCCTTGGAGGCGAACTCACCCAGAAAGCAGGAATCCTCGCTCATCCACAAGAGTGTCGTACCCATTCGGCAGGCCCTCCACGAACCCCGCCGCGTTCGCGTCCATACGTGCCTGCCGCACCGGATGGGGGATCGGGATCCAGTATTCTGCGTGAGCAAGGGCATCCTCGAGCTCGTCATTAGCTGCACTAAAGAATGGTCGGAGTACGCCGTGCACCACCAAGGGAGGAGCGCGTCCAGGGCAGAGGGCTTGATGACCGCGCCGGACAGGATATGGGCTTCACTCCCTTTTTGGAGTAGAACGAAGCGTACTTCGTTTGCGGTGTCGGATTCGAGCTGTTTGAGGGCCTCTCCATTGCGCGGTGCTGAGTTTGGGGAAGCGGAGGCGTGTGGAGGGCGAACGTCCCGGGAGGCGAGGACGAGCAAGCAGAAAGGAGGGTGATTTGCCTTGGCATCGGGCCGGTGATGCCGTCCGCCAATCACGGGCCATGTTGAGAATATTTTGCAGCAACAAGGAAAGAAAGGAGGATCTTGCCAGTGTCGTTTCAGTTCCGTGTCGAGAGGAAGGAAACTCTCAATTTTCATCATAATTTTCTCTATTTCCAGCGAAGTCCAAGTGCCAGAAGAAGCACCAAACCTATATAATTTGAACAGCTG